GCTCCCTCACCCGCCGCGGGACCCGCCGTTCGGTCTCCTCAGCGACCACTCCGAAACCCCGCCTCACCAACGCACCAATCGCGGGGCGCCGCCTTAAGACCGCGTACGGCCCTCACAGCCAATCAGAACGTTGAACGCGCGAGGGGGGGCGGGAGCGGCGCTCCGTCGCCCAGGTGACCGCCGGGGAGCGGATCCTCAGCGCCTCCACTTCCGCTCCTGGCGGAAGAGCCTCCTCTTCTTCTTCCTGCTGGCCGGCCTGGACTATTGCAGGGCTCTCTACCTGGGGCTGCCCTTGAAGGCGGTGGGGAAGCGACAGCAGGTGCAGGCAGGGGCTGCCAAGCTGGGCTCTGGAGCATCTTTTGAGGGCTCCTCTCCCGGTCCGGCTGGACGGTTTGCTGCCTGGCCAGGTTCAAGGGGCATCAGCTGACTTTTAAGGCCCTTGACGGGCCTTAGAAGCTCGTGACCTGGCTGAGCGCCTCTCCCTCAAAACATCAACCCCTCCCACTCACACCCAGAATCTCCAAGTGCCCCCCCCCACCAGGGAGGCCCGGAAATCAGCCTCTTAAAACGGGGCCTTCTCTGTGGCAGCCGCTTCCCTTTGGGGCTCCCTGCCGCTGGAGGTATGGCCTGCCCCATATCCCTCGTGGGTTTGAGGAGGCCACGGAAGACCTGGCCTTTCAACTGCTGGCCTCTCATCGGGTCATCTCAGGTCTCCCTTCTGCCACCAGCCTGCCTTTAATTTTCTCCCCCCCATTCCTGTTGTGGTTCCTGTAGCAATGTCAGGAACCTCTTTTTTCACATTTGTTTTATTGGTTTTATCCTTGTTTATGACTGTGGGTCCTTTTGTTAGCAGCCCAGCTACTAGCTGGGTGGGATAGAAGTGTCATTAAATAAATAAGAAGCCCAAGGTGGGGCCTGCCAGGGGCACAGGTGAAGGGGGGCAAGGTGCGAGCCTCCGGCCACCTGAGAGAGAGAGCGAGCGAGCCAGAAGGTGACCAATTGCATACTGTATCTCACTTCCTTCATTTCCTTTGAACTTGGCTTCAAAATGCACACTTGCCCCATTTCCTCCTGGCAAACCAGACATCTTCCCAATGCAGGTGTATGTCTGATAATCATCAAAGAGGCAGATAAGGGCAGCCCTGTCGTTGCCATGGACAAAATCAGGCTACAAACAAAAGAGCTGAGAGACAACCATCCAACTCTACATTTTTAGCAGCTGCTAATCCCAAACCCAATCTGCCAGCAAGTTTGGAAAACGCAACAGTGGCCAGAGGAATGGAACAGTCTACATCCCAATCCCAAAGAAGGGCAGTGCCAAAGAATGCTCCAAATACCATACAATTGCACTCATTTTACATGCTAGCAAGGTTATGCTCAAAATCCTACAAGGTAGGCTTCAGCAGTATGTGGACCGAGAACTCCCAGAAGTGCAAGCTGGATTCCGAAGGGGCAGAGGAACTCGAGACCAAATTGCTAACATGCTGGACTATGGAGAAATTCAGAGAGTTCCAGAAAAACATCGACTTCTGCTTCATTGACCACGCAAAAGCCTTTGACTGTGTGGACCACAGCAAACTATGGCTTGTCATTAAAGAAATGGGAGTGTCTGACCACCTTATCTATCTCCTGAGAAACCTATACGTTGGACGGGAAGCAACAGTTAGAACTGGATATGGAACAACTGATTGGTTCAAAATTGGGAAAGGAGTACGACAAGGCTGTATATTGTCCCCCTGGTTATTTAACTTATATGCAGAATACATCATGCGAAAGCCTGGACTGGAGGAATCCCAAACTGGAATTAAGATTGCTGGAAGAAATATCAACAACCTCCAATATGCAGATTATATCACTCTGATGGCAGAAAGTGAGGTGAAATTAAAGAATCTCTTAATGAGGGTGAAAGAGGAGAGCGCCAAAAATGGTCTGAAGCTCAACATAAAAAAAAACTGAGATCAAGGCCATTGGTCACATTACCTCTTGGCAAATAGAAGGGGAAGCTATGAAGGCAGTGACAGATTTTACTTTCCTGGGCTCCATGATCACTGCAGATGGTGACAGCAGCTACGGAATTAAAAGAGGCCTGCTTCTTGGGAGGAAAGCGATGACAAACCTAGACAGCAGCTTAAAAAGCAGAGACATCACCTTGCTGACAAAGGTCCACATAATCAAAGCTATGTTTCTTTCCAGTAGCGATGTATGGAAATGAGAGCTGGATCATAAAGAAGGCTGACTGCCAAAGAATTGATGCTTTTGAATTGTGGTGTTGGAGGAGGCTCTTGCGAGTCCCCTGGACTGCAAGGAGAACAAACCTATCCATTCTAAAGGAAATCAACCCTGAGTGCTCATTGGAAGGACAGATCCTGAAGCTGAGACTCCAGTACTTTGGCCATCTCATGAGAAGACTCCCTGGAAAAGACCCGGATGTTGGGAAAGAGTGACGGCAAGAGGAGAAGGGGACAACAGAGGACGAGATGATTGGACAGTGTCATCGAAGCTACCAACATGAATTTGACCAGACTCTGGGAGGCAGTGGAAGACATGACTTAACAACTAAACAACAACCAAATATATTATTTGTATAGGGGATTCAGGGCGGCTCACAGCAGATAAAACTAATTTTAAAACATGATATAAACACCACATGTAAAAAACAAACACATTAAGATCAAAAAGCAAGTTTGAAAACAATTTTAAGACATATAGAAGTTTAATAAGCAATGCATTCCTGAGACAACGTACTGCTTAAAGGCCTGCCTGAAACGGAAGGTCTTGGCCTGACAACGGAAGGAGAAGTGTCTGTGTGTGTGTGTGTGTGGGGGGAAACCTGGCTTCTCTGGGCAATGCATTCCAAAGCCTGGGAGCCACCACTGAGAAAGCTCTATCTCAAGCCCTCGCCAAATGACCGTGGGAAGGTGGTGGAACAGAAAGAAGGGTGTCCCCAGAAAAGCTTCAAAACCAACTAGGCTCCTATCGGGGGAATCCTGTACAATCCTTCCAACAGCCTAGACCCCAGCTGTATAGGGCTTCACAGGTTAATAACCAGCCCTGTGCTCCAATCTATTCACATTCAACAGTGGTCTAGCCCCCACATCCTGTACCTGCTGAAGTCGCCAGGTCAGTTTCAAGGAAAGCCCCAAACAGAAAACAATGCAGCAGTCAATCCTAGAGGCACCAATGTCCTCAAGGCCACCCAGTCCAGGTAAGGCCACAACTGGGTAATCTCAGCCTGAGCTGAATAAAGGCTGACCTGGTGATGGCCACAATCCGGGATTCCCGTGAAAGATCCAGGTGCAGGAAAACACTCTGATTGTGCACTTGACTCCCAAGAGGGAAGGGTTACACCATCCAACTTATGGAAGCAGCCCTCTAATCTGTCCAGGGACAGCCCCGCTAGAAGATGGATCTCTGTCTTATCCGAGTTCTGCCTCAGCCTGATATCCTTCATCCATTCCAGCCCTGCAGTCAGGCAGCTCTTGAGGAGCCAGGCAGCACCCGCTGCAGAAGATGTAACAGAGAAAGCCTATCTCCAGATCAAGAAAACGGCGATGGGCAAATGCAAACATATTCATCACTGACCTAGAATAGTAACCATTGCACTCTAAAATCACTCCTATATTTGAGGTATGCTGATGACATTTTCCTAAACCAGGCCATGGAAAGGAATTTCTAGAGAAATTCTACTGGGATTTCAAGAGCTTTCATCCAAATATCAACCCCATTCTGGCACAACAGGAACATTTTCTGCACACCACTGTGAAGCTACAACATGGGCATCTACCAAACTCTATTGAAAACCCACCCATCAATAAACCTGCTTGCCTACCTCCAGCTTCCATCTTGAGCATGTCACTAAATCCCTTGTTTACAGCCCTGCCCTCAGACACAATCCTCAGATCCACAAAAGACAGAGACTCCAAACTCAAGGATCTCCAAACCGCATTCCTCAAGCTCCAACTGTCATCAAATATGATTTATGGAACAAATCAACAGGGCAGGACAAACACCCAGAAGCAACCTATTGCAGGACAGACTCAGAAGAGAAAAAGACCAAACCCTGCTAGTTGTAACGTTCAGCCCACAAATAAGACCATTCACACACATCATATGTGATCTCCATTCCATCATTGATAAGAATGCTTCTCTCCCCCAAGGCCTTGTTCACAAACAATGCCACATGCAACATCAAAGGCACTATAAAGACCCTAAGTGGCTTGCGCCCGAGCTCTCTCAAGAACCGCATTGCCCTTTATGGGCCTGCTTACAGTGTCATATTTCTTTCAGTCCCACCAGCTTCACAGGTGCATTTGGTGGAGACACAGGAGAGGGCCTTCTCTGTGGCTGCTCCCAGATTCAGGCTGGCCCCATCTTTGCTCTCCTTCCACAAACAGTTAAAACACCTTTCTTTTCAGGCAAGCTTTCCCTTATTGAATGGCTGTCTGAGCGGTGTTTTAAATGGATGTTACTGCTTTGAATGTTGCTTTTGCTGTCTTTTACTTGATCCTTTTCAGTATTTCTATAGTTTTTAGCTTTAAATATTGTCTTTTAATGCTGTAGGTCATTTTGGATCCTTTTTAAGGAGGAAGGTGGGATAAACATATTTTAAATAAATAAATAAATGCATACATACATACTTTTACCTGTGCCTCTGCCAGTGTTATCTCTGCCATCTTTTGCCTCTGCAGTCTACATAAGACAAACAGGACAATCTCTGTGCAAAAGAATTAATGGACATACACTGGGCATCAGGAATGGCAACACACAGAAACCTGTTTGAAATTTTAATTTACAGGACAATATGTGATCAAATATATACACAGTGGTGCCTCGCTTAACGGCGATAATCCGTTCCAGGAAAATCGCCGTTAAGCGAAAACATCGTAATGCGGGGAAAAAACCCATTGAAACCCCTTCAATGCCTTCCAGTGGGGTCAAAACTCACCATCCAGCGAAGATCCTCCATAGGGCAGCCATTTTCGCTGCCTGTCTTGCGAGGAATCCGTCCCAGAAAACAGCGGGGAGCCATTTTGTTTACCCAGCGGCCATTTTGAAACCGCTGATCAGCTGTTTAAAAAAAGTCATTTTGCGAAGAATCAGTTCCCAAAGCAGGGAACCAATCATCGCAAAGCGAAAAAAACCCCATTTAGATCATCGTTTTGTGATCACAATTGCGATCGCAAAAAGATTGTCGTAATGCGGTTTCATCGTAATGCAGGGCAATTGTAAAGTGAGGCACAACTGTATGTTTAAAACCTTATCAATGGACTCAATATAAACCAAGGATTCTTAGGCTATTAACAAATGTAAAACATTGTGTTGTATTCCCAGGTACATTTCCTTCCTAACTAACCAATGCCACCTTACAAGATTTAGCGCTGGGCATCCTTCAGTCTTGAGAGACTACAGTAACGTGCTCTGAATGGGGGACTTGGAACAGCATCCAGTGTGGCTGAGAAGGCCAATTTGAGAGTGACCATCCCTTCCACACTGAACACAAATACAGTCTGTCCCCTGTTCAGCTCCCTGATTTTGCTGCTTTCGGCACTGCCTCTTTGCCTCGGCCTGCTGGACAAGGGTCTCTTCAAATTGGGAGAGGCCGCGATGCACCGCCTGCCGCCAGACTGAACACTCAGAGGTCAGGGTTTCCCATTGGTTGAGGCCCATTCCTAAGGCCTTCAGATCCTACTTGCAGATCTCCTTACATTGCAGCTGTTGTCTCCCACTGGGGAGATTTCCCTGCACTAATTCGCCATACAGGAGATCTTTTGGAATCCGACATTCAGCCATTCTCATGACATGCCCAAGGCAACGTAGATGTCGCTGTTTCAGTAATGTATACATGCTAATGTTTAGCACCTTTCAAGACTCATTGGTGATTATGGATACTCTTTACCATGTTGCTCCTGCTTGTTATCTATAGCCTGGGATTACTTTGGCCACCTATAATTGTCACTGTTTACAAAACAGTACTGTACTTCCAGGGAAGGGAACTGAATATCAACAGGGGTCTGAAAGGTCATTGCTAGGTGTGAAATGCCGCACCATCATCAGCTGTCCAGGAAACACTCTCCTTGTTTCAGGGCCATGTATAAATGCATACGTCCCACTTCTACATCCCAGGAAGTGGACTTGTCCACAAAAGCTTAGATCAAAATATAGCAGTTATTTTTTTTAAAGTGCCACAATGTTTTGTCTTTATGTTTTCTATTTCTTTTCTTTTGGCCTTTAAATTATTATTGTGGCCTCAATTGTTCCTCTTAAGCCTATTATTGGGTTTTTGCAATGATATCCCGGAAGACAGGGAAAACGAGTTCAGCCTCAAAGCAGCAGATTCAAGTTTGCATTTTCAACAATTGGTTTGGTGTGCACACACACACACACCACAATGAAACTTGCCCCTGCTTGCAGAGGCAAGAAAGGAAGCACCAACAGAGATTTATTCCCACCTTTGTCCTTCCTGTATCATATCTTGTGCTGTTGTGAGTGAGGGGCCAAGAGGAATGTTATGGTGCAAGTAGAACTGGAACAAGAGCTCAAGACAGCATTGCTTGGGCGCATCAGGCTCAGCAACCTGCCCCCACACAAAGCAACAGAATGCACATGCTTCAGGTGGGGTAGCTTAATATGACCTCTGGTAAACAAAAACAACTGTACAGGAGACTCATACAACTGAATCAAAACCAACGTACAAGGTTAGGCAAAAAGCACATGGAGTTAAAATTCTGGAACAAACCACAACCATGGACAAAGGTCTGATTGTCACGCCTGCAGCTGTACCCTAGGAAACTGGGAGGCCACCCAACCCTGCCCTTTTGACTGACCTGACCTGTGTATGTGCCTATCCCAGTCAACCTATGCAGGCCTCTCATGCACACAGGCCAGGAAGGAACCATGCTGCCTCTTCCTTCACTTCCACCTCAGCCTGGAGGCTATCTACTGATCACAACAGAAAAATAATCTATTTTATTGCTAAAATACACCTGGGTTGCTTCCAGACTGAGCAGCCATCGCATCCCACCCTAAAGCGCTCGGGGGGATTTCAAGGCAGCCAACTTTTGGTTTTCTTCTTGAGGCAGATCAGGAGTTCCTGAAGCAAGTTCTATGTCTTCCACTTCTTCTTTCTTCACCCACAGGAAAGGGAGGTCCCCCACATTTCGGACTTTACGGGGGTTCTCCGCACCCTCCTCCTCCTCCTCCTGCAACTCACAACACTGAGCCCAGATGTTCACAATCATCCTGAGGGTAGAGAGACGCTCCTCCAGTTCCTCCCCCTCGCTTTGCAGCAAGAGGTTCCCAAGTTCCTTGCTGAGAGACTGGACTTTGTCCCATCGTTCCTCAGTCACTCCCATGGCCCCCTGGATGCCTGTGGAGTGGCAAGGTTGGCCAAGCAAGTTCTCCTGCAAGACTGGAAGGTGTTGGTATTTCTTCTGCCAGCGCTTGCCAACCATGTTTTCTTCTACAACCCGCCGGTTAGCCAGAAGCATGGACAAGATGTGCCGGCAGGGCAGCTGGTAGCGACGGTGGAAGTAGCAAGTGCAGCTCTTGCCGCTGTCCTGAACCTGGTAAGTGTCCTCCAGCAGTTGAACTGAAATTTTGTTCTTGGTGGAAGTGAAGAGCTGCGCTGACTTCTGCACCACATCCCATTCATTCAGACACAGCTGGTAAGCCAGGTCAGTGCAGGTCTCCTGCAGAGCGGTCAGCATGGTGGCCACTGGCTTGGCTGGGCTGTGTTTGAGAAACGGCTTGGGAAGGTCAGCGGCAGTTCTGGTGGGGGTCTTCTGAGATGGACTGGTGGAACTGCACTTCGCAGAGGCACGGGTCTTTGTTCTGGGCTCTTCCATGAGGCCTCTGTGGCTGTCTTGCTCCAGGCCAGAGAAATCCTGGTTCAAGTTCCCGAGCCCTTTGGTGTTGAAGCAGTCTGCATATTCAACAAAGCGAAGGATGCTTGCCTCCAGGGATGACTGACTGTTGAAGAGGCTGGAAACTTTCTGAGTGATAAGATCCAAGCTGTCTATGTATGTGCTGCAGTAATGGAGGCCTTTCTTAGCATGCATGTACCACAACATCTCACAGGAGAACCAGTTAGTCTGAAGATGCTCATACAGTTCTTGGTCTACTAAACGCTTTACCAGTTGAGACAGCGTCTCCAGGTTTCTGGTGGAAGTGGAGAAGACTGCTTTCCTCAGAGCCAACTTTAAGTTCTGTCTGAAGGAAAAAGAGGACCGTGACTCCTTCAGCTTCTTCTCCAGGAGCTGCACAGTGTGGTAGACGGACAGCAGTACCTGGGCTGAGGGGAAGAGCTCCTGCAAAACAGGCTGGTGGCGAAAGGAGAGATCCACAAAGACCACCTTGACCTTCTGCCACTCTGGGTTGAACTCCTTGAAAACAGAGAGCATTTTCTGCACATTCTCCTGAGTATCCTCCTTCAGGATAGCAAAATGGACCAGTTTCCCCACACGATCCTTGCTTTCCACCAGGAAAGCATACAGAACGTGGCCCCTCTCACTTGGCACCTGGTGCAGCAAGAGGCTCTCAGGGAATCTGATGAACAAGCTCTTCATTTTGCTGGTCTGGAAATTCAACCTCTCAAGGTCCTGGTTGCTGCCCACACTGGTGGAGCCCAGAGAACCTGTGTCCACCAGCAGGATGTTTTTCATCAATTCGGCAACTTGGACCAAAGCAGAATTGTTGTTGCTACTGTTGTCTTCCTCTGCCTGAGGGACGTCTGGTTCCTTGTGAGGGGAAGGAGGCAGGAAAAAGGACTCCATTTCAGTCTCCATGTTCTCGTTGGTGTCCACTTCAATCTTCACATTTATGCTGTTCATTTCACAGGATTCTACCTCTGCGGGTTCCTCTTTGCGCAGTTTGAACGGAGGGGTGCCACCGTCTTTAGAGCCAGCCATTTTGACGGCCATTCTAGCCAAGGGTTGAGGATTGCTGCTGACAGAGGAAGACTTGGATTCCACATGGACATGGTTGTTGTTCACCTCACAGATCACCAGTCGATCTAGTTCCTTGTTATATTCTAACACTAAGTAAGCTGGGCACAAATTAGACAGTTGCTTCTTCTTACAGTAGTCTCTTAATCGGCCACAGCCAAACTTTGCCTGCATAAACCTGACAAAGGGAAGAGAAAATGAGAATTCGTAAGCCAGGCATCTTCACCAGTCTACTATAAACACTGCCTCGCTAGGCAAGCTCTTGTAACTAAGGATACTGTGAAGCCACCCACACTAAATTAGAGGCACTAGAACAGTCTACACTATAGTCTAGAAAGCATGTCTAGTATGGCCCACAGTCAAGAGCCCATGGTGTCAAGGTTCCAGATTGGGACATTTTGCAAACACTAAGCAGGTTTCAGACCGGTCAGGAGATTGCCCACCCCCTGCACTTTAAAAAACATCCTGCCTTGAGTTCCACTGACACAGCAGCAAAATACGAGTCTACCAGATAGATATAGAGAAATCTCGTCAAGTCATAGACTTGCTTGGATAAGCTTTGGGCAACCCCTCCTGTTGCGGATGTAGGAGTGGAGGACTTTTCCCTTGGGAGAAGCTCAGTCAGATCCTGGTTTTGCTTCAGAGAAACTGATCAATAAACCCTCGGTTAACTTTTTTCTGTGCTGAGATGGAAAATCTCATTCTGCAAGAAGGGAGGAGATGCTGTTTGACCAATATATTATTTACTCACGACCTTTCGATGCCCCCTTCCCATCCTTGAGCTCCAGCCAAAGGACACGGCTCTCCTCTTTCCCACATGATCCTCACAACAACCCTGGGAGGTAGGTCAGGCTGACCAAGTGACCACCCCGAGTTACCCAACGAGTCCTATGGTTCAGTGAGGACAAGAACGTGGGTTCTGCAAGGCCCGGCCCAACGCCAGAGGAAGCCATCCTTCTGGATGCGCCAAAGAAAGCGAGAGTCTGGCACAGCGTGTTTCAGCGAGCGGAAGACAAAGCGCAGGCTCTCTTACGTGACATCCTCGCGGATGCTGGTCCCGTTCTTGCGGTTATAAAACCGGACCGAGATGCAGCTCTTCAGCCGGTAGCGCAGCCGGTTCTCCTTCTTGTAGGTGCTGAAGAACTCCCGGAAGTCCTCGTAGTTCTTGAAGCAGGAGCCCAGCTCCATGGTGGTTGCAGTGGGGCCGGCGGGGGCGGCGGCGGTGGTGGTTACGTGACATCCTCGCGGATGCTGGTCCCGTTCTTGCGGTTATAAAACCGGACCGAGATGCAGCTCTTCAGCCGGTAGCGCAGCCGGTTCTCCTTCTTGTAGGTGCTGAAGAACTCCCGGAAGTCCTCGTAGTTCTTGAAGCAGGAGCCCAGCTCCATGGTGGTTGCAGTGGGGCCGGCGGGGGCGGCGGCGGTGGTGGCGGTGGTGGTCCTCCTCCTCCTCCTCCTCCTGCTCTTTGCCGAGGGTGTTCCGCTCCCGCCTGGGCCCATTGAGTAAGTGCAGCCCACGGCCAAGGGGGAATCATCAAAGGCAGGATGAATGCCGCCTTGAGTCATTTCCAACACACACACACGCACAGAGACACACACACACAACCCCCCCCCCGCGCCCGCCCCCCCC